GGACGGGTCAAAATCTGGGCAACTAGTTTTGGTTTCTAAACTCAACCAACCTGTAACAAACCTGCCCAACACATCCTATAACTCAAATACGAAGTAAAAAGGATGCAAACAAGATAATAAACAACTACCAACATCCACGGACACATGTCCGGATCACTGTACAACAAGGGTAAACTCGAGATCGCTATACAGCCAACCACCCCTCTTCCCGCACGTGCGGCCCAACCCCACACGTGCGGCCCTGAGCCCCCGCACGTGCGGCCCTGGCCCAGTAACCCAGCAGATTTTCGGTTCGCTCCCGGGCACTTTGGACCTGACCCCACGCTCTCCGGAACTAATGAAAATCGACACCGAACAAGACATGAATAAAATAAAATAAAAATTCAATTGAGAACGTCCCCCAAACGTTTCAAACCCAACGAGAGCCAAAAGAGAAGGACACCAAAACGAAGGAAGAAGAAAGAGAGGAAAAGAGACCCAGTCATCACACATATGATATTAATTAATCTACAAAATGTTTTCTTACATCAGTTGCGAGGTAGTGTGCAGATTGAACGACCTCTCTGTCTACCTTTTCTAGAGCAACAGAGTCAAAACCTCTACTACAGTGCATAATATCACTTAAAATAGATTGCATGTGGTACACTCCAAAATAGGAATGTTTATTGTAGAAGTTCTTTTTATTTGGCATGTTTGGCACAGCTAGTAAGCTAAAAGTTTTTTTTGGATGAGTAATAAGCTAAAAGTTGATAACAAATAAATGAATAAAAAAAACACCCCCTCCTCCATCTCCTAAATAGTCTTCTTTTTTCTTTTCTTTTCTTTTTTTTTTCCAATTTATTTAAACTATTTCTATTTTATAATCTACAAATGGAAGGTTCACTAAACAATCTAACATATTTTTAAAATTAAACAAAAATTACAAACAATTCAAAGAATTTGCACCAAACAGTCCCATTACAACATTGCTAAATTCCTGACAAGTATGATTAACAAGTTTTTAATGTATGTTTATATATCTGGACAGGTAATTGATAGAATCATTGGAAAGCAGCAAAGCATTTTTTTTGTTTAGGACACTCTCTGCTACTTTGGTGCAACTTAAGTTTAGGTTTAACTCTCTTACTTTAGCCTATCTTAAAAAATCATGAATATGTGAAGGGATTGTGATTTCAAATAAAAAGGAAATAGAAAAAATAAGAAGAAAATAAAGTAAAATAAACTAAATTTATTTATTTCAATTTTTTTTCTTGATAAATATGTCATGTAAATTTAATCTTTGCAATTATAAAAAATAAATAAATAAGCAATCATACAAAACACAAGATATAAATGATACGTTCTTAGTTCTCTTCCATCATAAAAAACTCCTGACAATAAATCTATACATATAGTAAAAAACAAAAGACATCTCACAACAAAATTCAAAATCAAAACATAATATTAAGATTTGAGTCCCTTTATTAAGAATTTACTGAAAAAGAAAACTGTAACGATCCAGAATTTCTCCCTCCGTTCAAGCGGGGGATTTGGCGCTCGAGCGTAGAATTGATGCCCCCAGTATCTCACATTTTGTAGGCGGACCGCTTGAGCGTGAAAAGTGACACTCGAGT